TGAAATGATCCACCAGAAACATTTTTATAATGTAGTTTATTTACAGAGTGAGTTCACACATAAATGACTAAACTCTTTTCTCTTAAGTTGTCAGTGCATAGAAACCATGCATTCTCCCTAAGCTTAATTTATAAAATTCAACATGTAACCTATTTTTCAGTTGTATGAATATTTTCATTATTTGGAATTATGGTATTGCAAAATTCAGACTTAAATTGAAGAAAGTAGGGAAAACCACTAGGCCATTCAGGTATGACCTAAATCAAATTCCTTACAATTATACAGTGAAAGTGACAAATAGATTCAAGAGATTAGATCTGATAGCCAGAGTGCCCGGAGAACTGTGAATGGAGTTTGTAACACTGTACAGGAGGCAGTGATCAAGACCACCCCCAAGGAAAAGAAATGCAAAAAGGCAAAATGGTTGTCTGAAGAGGCTTTAAAAATAGCTGAGAAAAGAAGCAAAGCTAAAGGTAAAGGAGAAAAGGAAAGATACACCCATCTGAATGCAGAGTTCCAAAGAATAGCAAGGAGAGATAAGAAAGCCTTCCTAAGTGAACAATGCAAAGAAATATAGGAAAACAACAGAATGTGAATGACTAGAGATCTCTTCAAGAAAATTAGAAATACCGAGGGAACATTTCATACAAAGATGGGAAAAATAAAGGACAGAAAATGTATGAACCTAACAGAAGCAGAAGATATTAAGAAGAGGTGGCAAGAATACACAGAACTATAAAAAAAAAAAACAAACCCCTAATGACCCAGATAACTATGATGGTGTGATCACTCACCTAGAGCCAGCATCCTGGAATGTGAAGTTAGGTGGGCCTTAAGAAGCATCACTCTGAGCAAAGCTAGTGGAGATAATGGAATTCCAGCTGAACTATTTCAAATCCTAAAAGATGATGATGTGAAAGTGCTGCACTCAATATGCCAGCAAATATGGAAAACTAGCAGTGGCCTGAGGACTGGAAAAGGTCAGTTTTCATTTCAATCTCAAAGAAAGGCAATGCCAAAGAATGTTTAAACTACAGCACAATTGCATGCATTTCATACATTAGCAAGTGATGCTCAAGATTCTCCAAGCGAGGCTTCAACAGTACATGAACTGAGAACTCCCAGATGTTCAAGTTGGATTTAAAAAAGGCAGAGGGACCAGAGATCAAATAGCCAACATCCATTGAATTATAGAAAAAGCAAGAGATTTCCAGAAAAACATCTGCAACATGGAGTATACAAACCCTTTAACTGTGGATCACAAAATGAACTGTGTAAGATTCTTAAAGAGATGGGAATACCAGACCACCTTAGCCACCTCCAGAGAAACCTGTATGCAGGTCAAGAAGCAACACTTAGAACCAGTCATGGAAAAATCAACTGGTTCAAACATGGGAAAGGAGTACATCAAAGCTGTATATTGTCACCCTGCTTATTTAACTTATATGCAGAGTACATCATGTGAAATGCTGGGCTGCATGAAGCACAAGCTGGAATCAAGATTGCTGGGAGAAATATCAATAACCTCAGAAATGCAAATGACACCGCCCTTATGGCAGAAAGCAAAGAGGAATTAAAGAGCCTATTGGAGAAAGTTAAAGAGCGTGAAAAAGTTGGCTTAAAACTCAACATTCAAAAAACTAAGATCATGGCATCTGGTCCCTCATTTCATCTCAAATAGATGGGGAAACAAGGGAAAGAGTGAGAGATTTTATTTTCCTGGGCTCCAAAATCACTGCAGATGGTGACTGCAGTCATAAAATTAAAAGATGCTTGCTCCTTGGAAGAAAAGCTAGACAGCATATTAACAAACAGAGATATTACTTTGCCAGCAAAAGTCCGTCTAGTCAAAGCTATGTTTTTTCCAGTAGTAATGTATGGATGTGAGAATTGGACCATAAAGAAGGCTGAGCGCCGGAGAATCGTTTTGAACTGTGGTGTTGGAGAAGACTCTTGAGAGTCCCTTGGACTGCAAGGCGATCAAACTAGTCAATCCTAAAGGAGATAAGTCCTGAATATTCATTGGAAGGACTGATGCTGAAGTTGAAGATCTAGTACTCCAGTACTTTCTAGTCAGCTGGTATGAAGAGCCGACTCATTAGAAAAGACCCTGATGCTGGGCACTATTGAAGGCAGGAGGAGAAGGGGATAACAGAGGATGAGATGATTGGATGGCATCACCACCTCAGTAGACTTGGGTTTGAGCAAGCTCTGGGAGCTTGTGAAGGACAGGGAAGCCTGCCGTGTGGGAGCCCATGAGGTCACAAAGTGTCGGACATGACAGAGCAGCTGAACAACAACAACAAATGATAAAGAAAGTCATTATTTTTATTATTTAAAGTGCAGCCAACATACAGAAATTGGCAAACGAAAACCAATGAAAACCAAGGAGTTATCGCTGTTCTTATTTATCTCTTAGCCGTACACAGTTACTGACGCTAACAAGCTGGTACACTTGATAAGATAGTGGAAAAGTACTTCTTTCAGTCAGCTCCATCTTCCCTGATTTCCTACCTGTAGTCGAGAAGATCAAACATATTAACATTTCACCTCTCCTTCTACAAACAGGTATTCTTTAACTGAGTATTTTTCATGCAAACTAGTAACTTTTATGAATTACTTAATTTCACCTTCATAATAACTCTTGGGAGAGTCATTATTAACCCCTTTCTCTACAACCTGAGGCCTGAGTGATGTGAGGAACTCCCCTGAGTCTGCGCACCAGTAAGTACTGTGGTGGTGCCTGTGTTCTCACCTGTAGCTACGACTCCGTACTCTGAGCTACAGCAGTTGTCTTTCTGCTACTCGTCCGCTTCATGTTCAGAGTCCTGTCATCTGGTTTCTATGCGTGTCCAGTTAAAATCAGTCTCTTAAATGACCCTCTTGATGACTAATATCTACGTAATTGTCTTGATTTAGACTCAGCGGGCTTTTACAATTGTTTTTAGTTTGCCTAGCTACCTACAGTTTGGTCTCTCTGGTGTTTGGGTGGAATTAGAGTTTAGGATTGGAAAGGAGACTGAAGGTCATCTACTCTGTCTGATAACCAGAGCTCTGTGTGTAGTTGGGCAGTGCCGGAGCGCGTCCAGTGATACAGCCCAGTCTCTGGTGTAGGCCTTTCCATCCTCACGCAGCTCCGAGTGCCTGAAATTTCAGTCTTACATTGGCTCTGTAGCATTGATCCTTTACAATCATTGGTGAGAGGAATGGCATTTACATCCATATACTGTGTGGTGGATTCTCTGTTCTTTCTCTTTGGAGACTAATAGCACTCATTTGTTTCAGGTATGCTTCACATGAATGAAACTCTTTCCCTTGATCTGTGTCTTTTTTTCCTCCTGCCTTCTATTCTTCTTTCCTTCCTTTTTTTTTTGGTCATAAGTTGAGGGTGAAATAAGATAAATCCAGTAGTGTACTGTTTGTTATGAATAAATTTGAAAAGCATCTTTTAGCAATTTATTAACAATTATTACAGTTTTGCGTGTAAGATGGGTAGTTAGATAGGTAGATATAGATAGACAGACAGACATTCCATTTAATATGTATTAATCCAGTAATATATTTAAAAAAATGTGATTTGTAGATGATAAGCTATTAACTATATGTTTTCTTATTAATTCTGGTATGTAATTCATTTATATGAATGATGGTAATAATTGACAGTGTGATGCAGGCTATTAAGTAATTAAAGGAAAATATTACAAATAAATTAATTCTGTGTGAGTCTGTTAGGGGTTTCATTTGAACTAGCTTGGAAGAGTGATGCTGTTTTCCCTAGGTAGCATATAGCTGTAGGTGTCAGGAAAGGCTAATAAGTGGATGACTATGGACTGTGTTTTCCTGCCCTGTAGTGGACATGAGAAGGAGTACTGAGGTGGGGTTTAAACTCAAATGATGTTTATCTGAACTTTAATGCTAAGTTAGGAAGTTTGAACTTTGTTCTCTATTAAAATATTATTTTGATGAGATGGAAAAGGAAGTAAAAAAATAAAATAAGGCAACTTATCGAATGACTAATGTCCTGGGATAGGTCTGGGACAGAGGAAGGGTCTTCATTTCTGCTTTCATTTTTGGAAGGCACGTTCTACATTTTATGGCTGCTGATGAAAATTTCTACTATGCATGCATGATTCAGAACACATTTCTGAAGAGTTCCCAACATTTGTATTTTGGAATTGTGGTGGTGGTGGCGGCAATGGCGGTGGCAGCAGTGGTGGTGGTGGGTGTGTTTATGTAAAGACTACGTATGTAATTTCAGTTGAAGCAGATAAAAGAAACCTCTTCGGTAATGATCAGCAATTACCTTTCTTGTGCAAAGACAATTTACTGTTCTTTCTATTTGAAAATATTTTTCTTACTTAAGGTATCTGAAGGTTCATTATTTGCCTGTTCACAGCAAAAGTAAATTGGAAATTGATAAACTAAAAAACTGGGATCACATAGCAAATTAATTTAATTCAGTGTTTTCATAAAAAACTAATCCACATGCCAGTTACAAAATATTACAAAGTTAGTGATTTAATTATCAAAAAGGCATACTAAAATTCTTTATTAAAGAGAGACCTTAAACAACCTAGGCGTTTGTTTTCCCCACACCTCTGCTCTGTTGGCCCTTAAGCTTATCCTTCTAGCAATGACTTGGAGCAGGTGAAAACCACTTAAACAAGTTTTAATAAGAGTTAAAAATGTTTTATATACAAACTGACCATTCTAATTCATTGCCATATGCAAAGAGTTTCCATCAGACCAGTCATTTGGACAAAGTATTTCTCTCCTTTGTTCTGTAGAAGTATGTCATCTTGAACATAAAATCAGCACATTAATGGGATCATAACTTCCATTTCATTGAAATGTAAAGAGTCCTGTGAAGTTTTAATATCCCAAAGAATAACCACTGATTGGTAACACACCAGGAAGTAGCCACATTACTAAGTGCCAATCGTCTCTACTCATACCGAACCTCACATTAACGCTCAATGTCTTGCTTTGTTACCTTGCAGAAATGTTGGAATCCAACAATGTGATCACTTTCAATGGCTTGGCCAACAGCTCCAGTTATCATACCTTCCTTTTGGATGAGGAACGGAGTAGACTGTATGTTGGAGCAAAGGATCATATATTTTCATTCAACCTGGTTAACATCAAGGATTTTCAAAAGGTACCTTTATTCTGATACACAGACTATAATTTTTTTGAAACAATTTAAGTTATATAGAATTTTATAGCTATTTAATTATGTAACAACTGAAAAACTTGTTCAAATTAATATTTTATCTTTCAGACACATAAAATTAAAGCACTGATTTGACTTTCACAAATCAATGTATATAGTAAATCATAAAAATCATCAAGAAGGAAACTGTAGTATTTTTGGTGATCATTATAAGAAATGCTAACTTTAGCTTATTTTTCTATAGTTGTATCCTTTTTCCTGCATACAATTAAATACCTAAACCATTATATAAATGTATAATAATTGATTTCATATACTAGGTATATGTGTACATATATTTGTATATAATTTATGCATCTATCTATATTGCCTAAAAATGCAGAGTTCATAAGTCATTATATACATACCTCATCTGATGTGTCACTCATGTTTATAAAGTTTATTATTAATGGGACACAGTTACTCTCAATCCATTTACATATTGTCTGTGTCTGCTTTTATTCTACAATGTCAGAGCTGAGTAGCTGTGAAATAAATCATCTGGATCAGAAAGCCTGGAATATTTACTATCTGGCCCTTTAAACAAAAAGTTTGCCAAACCCTGATCTGGAAGATTCGTTTTCAGTGTTCAGTTTTTTCAAATGTGGTCATTTAGACACTAGTCTTTTATCAGTTTTTAATATACTTTATAAAAAGTATTAGTAATAATTATAGTATTTATTACTTATTTAATTAATACACTGTATAGGTTGGAAAATAAACATGGGATGACAAATTAGTGGAAATTGTGCTACTGAGTCTATATGCTGTATTCTAAGTCAAATATTTATTTTCTCAGTATTTCCAGTCTAAATTTTCTGAGAAACAAAGATCTTTATGCAAGCTTTCCCAAGAGTGCGAATGTAACATGGTTTTTAGGATGCATGCATACATGTATGCTCAGTCCCTCAGTCATGTCCGACTCTTTGTGACCCCATGGACTGCAGCCCCCTAGGCTCCTCTGTTCATGGAATTTTCTAGGCAAGAATACTGGAGTGAGTTGTCATTTTCTACTCCAGGGCATCTTCCTGACCTGACCCAGCAATCAACCTCTTATCTCCTGAGTCTCCTGCATTGGCAGGTGGAGTCTGCCACTAACCCACCTAGAAAGCCCTTTTAGGGTGCATTGCTGTTTAGTGGCTAAGTCCTATCATACTGTTTTGTGACCCCATGGACTATAGCCCACCAGGTTGCTCTGTTCATGGGATTTTTCCAGACAAGAATATTAGAGTGGGTTGTCATTTCCTTCCGGGTCAGGATATGTTCCTGACCCAGGGATCCAACCTGCATCTCCTGCATTGTCAGGTGGATTCTTCACTGGTGAGCCACTAGCGAAGCCCCTTTAGGGTACATACACTTCAGTATTTATACAATTCAGTATCATATATAGTTTTACGTCTTAACACTGAGGGTTTTAAAGTGGTGTGTCTCAACTTCTTATAAACTGTAGTGAACTGGACAATAATTTTTTAAAAATAACAATGTAAAAAGCTTTTGTAGTGGTTGAAGAATGTTGCCTAGGATACAATAAAGATTTCATTTCAGGGCTGATTTATTTCTAATAGAGTATACCACTAAACCTAACACTTTTATTCTGTTCCCCAAACCCTAAAATTCTGACTGTGAATTATGAAATTTGATTTTTGACATATAGTCAGAAAATGGCAGTGCCCTTACTGATATATTTTGAAATTAAAATATGGCATTTAATAATCGCCTTGATTTCTTCAGGCTGTTTCTTTTTTTTTTTTTTTTTAATATTTCAGTCTATTTGATTTTGAAGCCTCCTCAGATGATAGCAATATCTCTAAAGTTACCTATTATCTAAGGAAATGGGTTATCCATTTGTTTTTCTGAAATGATAAAAATACCTTACATCTTTTGTAAAGGTCACAAAATATGGGTTTTTGTTGCTTTAGTGAAAGAAAACCACCCTTTATAAAATGAAGGAAAATCTAAGATGATTAGGAAGACTACATATTTTAGTAATAAGAGACTATATCAGTTCACAATTTAAATGTTTATAGAATTTTCATCATTCTATAAAATCCATATATCAATATAAATATATGTGGTATATATATATCTACATAGACAATATGTGAGCAGATGTCACTTCAAAATATGTTTAATGTATTGATTGTGTTTCTTCTGAATCAATATTCTTAATTTTATATATATATATATCTATATACATACACATATATATACATTTAGTTCTAAAATTGAAAAGAAGTAAATTGTCATGTAAAACAATTTACTATGCTACACCTGAGAAAAATCCTGGAGACATTTTTATGCCTGGGCTATATCATTTATAGCAAATACTTAGAAAATAGATTCAGTAAAAGTTCGGTGACTTGCCCAATATCAGTGTTCTTACTATAGCTCCTACTCTTGATTCAAATCATTATTCTAGTAACATGTGACATATTTCTAATTTTAAACATCAGTTTCGAAAATATTTAATTTTAATTGTCACACTGTTTATAAGGTAAATGCAGTTTTCTTAAGGATTTTCTTCTGCTTGTTTATATTTGTCTATTAATGTTCTTTTAGCCTATGTATAATGTTATTCAATAACTTTTTCCTAAACCTCTACTTAGGCATAAAATCTGTATAAAATAAACTCAGTATAAAATCTGTAGGGGGTACAAATAATTCTTGAGGCACTTACAAGATAATATTAAAGTTGAGATGTATTTAAAGGTAAATATTAGGCCAACCCTTGTTAGAAAAACAGTCTCTGGTTTAAGTGGACCTTAGAAAACATATTTGGCTTTGATACATAGCCCAGACACCCACAAAGATTCACAGAGTTGGATTGGGAAGAGAAGGGGAAAGGAGGAAATAGAGGTGTTTCGAGGTAGAAAACAGAGAGTCAAAAGTGGGAGAGTAATCACCACACTCCTGAATAGAAATGGGAACTGAATATTGGATTCTTAAATGACCAAAATTTATATCACATACTACTGAAAAGCAAAGATTAAAAATCTAGTGTAGAGGTTAGACTCTTTGAAATACAATATTTAAAAACAAAAACACACAAAAAAATTTAGAAATGTATATGAAGTTTGATTTAAAAATAGGGTTTTTCTCTCTCTCTCTCTTTTTTTTTTTTTTGGCAAGGTTATAGTGAAATGAAAATGAAAATTAAGGAATAATAGAGGAGTATTAGAGGACTTTAAAAGGAAATAGGAGAGAAAAACAAGAAAAAGAAAAAAAAAGAAAAAAAAATTTTTTTTTCCCTAATTAAAAAAATCGTAAAAATATATGAAAATGAAAGTTGGGAAGTAATGGGGGAGTAATAGGGAATTTTAAAAGAAAATAAAAGAGAAAAAATTTAAAAAAATTAAAAAAAAAAGGATAGAAAAAAAATTTTTTTTTTTAATTAAAAAAAAATATATATATATATCTAGGAATTTCTCTGGAGTTGTTGCAGTCAGCGTAGGTTCAGTTCAATTTCAGATAGCTCCTCTTTCCAGCTTACACTTCTCGATATCTGTAGGCCCCTTCTGATGTAGTCGGTGTTACCTTCAGGGATTTTAATCTGTTGCACCAGTCTTTTCTGAAGCGGTTCCCTTTGTTTATTTGGCTTCTGTTTGCCGTCTCTTTGGTGTCTAATTTCCGCCCTGACACAGGCGGGTGGAGGTGATCTCTTATTTAGGTTCTCTAGTTCAGTTCAGTCCTGCTACGGGGAGGGCGGGGCGCTGCAGACAGATACCGCTCTGTGTGGACAGCACTCACCGTGTTCCGGCCACACTGGGTTTGCCCTGCTCACGGGTGTCAGTGCTTTTGCCGTCTACACTGCTCCAGAGTCCACAAGTCTGTTCTATACATAGGAGTCTCTTTTTTTGTTTTGCACATAGGGTTATCGTTACCATCTTTCTAAATTCCATATATATGTGTTAGTATACTGTAATGGTCTTTATCTTTCTGGCTTACTTTGCTCTGTATAATGGGCTCCAGTTTCATCCATCTCATTAGAACTGATTCAAATGAATTCTTTTTAATGGCTGAGTAATATTCCATGGTGTATATGTACCACAGCTTCCTCATCCATTCGTCTGCTGATGGGCATCTAGGTTGCTTCCATGTCCTGGCTATTATAAACAGTGCTGCGATGAACATTGGGGTACACGTGTCTCTTTCAGATCTGGTTTCCTCGGTGTGTATGCCCAGAAGTGGGATTGCTGGGTCATATGGCAGTTCTATTTCCAGCTTTTTAAGAAATCTCCACACTGTTTTCCATAGTGGCTGTACTAATTTGCATTCCCACCAACAGTGTAAGAGGGTTCCCTTTTCTCCACACCCTCTCCAGCATTTATTGCTTGTAGACTTTTGGATAGCAGCCATCCTGACTGGTGTGTAATGGTACCTCATTGTGGTTTTGATTTGCATTTCTCTGATAATGAGTGATGTTGAGCATCTTTTCATGTGTTTGTTAGCCATCTGTATGTCTTCCTTGGAGAAATGTCTGTTCAGTTCTTTGGCCCATTTTTTGATTGGGTCATTTATTTTTCTGGAGTTGAGCTGGAGGAGTTGCTTGTATATTTTTGAGATTAATCCTTTGTCTGTTGCTTCGTTTGCTATTATTTTCTCCCAATCTGAGGGCTGTCTTTTCACCTTGCTTATAGTTTCCTTTGTTGTGCAAAAGCTTTTAAGTTTCATTAGGTCCCACTTGTTTATTTTTGCTTTTGTTTCTAAAATTCTGGGATGTGGGTCATAGAGGATCCTGCTGTGATTTATGTCGGAGAGTGTTTTGCCTATGTTCTCCTCTAGGAGTTTTATAGTTTCTGGTCTTACATTTAGACCAGCCCAGGTTGGGTGCATGAGACAAGTGCTCGGGCCTGGTGCACTGGGAAGACCCAGAGGGATTGGGTGGAGAGGGAGGTGGGAGGGGGGACCGGGATGGGGAATACATGTAAAAAAAAAAAAAAAAAAGA